ATGTGGCGCCCTACAATACACACCACTCAATATAATATGGATCTTACTTTGTTATGCTATAGCCTATATAATGAAGAAGTATGAAACATAATGACTTTACCATAACCATACTATATCCTATACAATAAGCGCCTCATTAATTGTTTTTGTACCTCGACCGTGGCGTCCTGCTGCAGCATGACCTTGTTCAGCACTTCCTTGCGAACGGTTATGCGGACCTTCAGCCTCTTGCTGTGGGGCTCTGCAAAAAAAACAAAAAAAAAACACACACACACACGGAAGGGAGACAGAAAAAAAAAAATAGAGGTTAGACCGGGCATGGCCGCTTGAGAAACAACCCGCATATGAAACAATCACTTCGGGACACGAAAAACAATTAGATTTATCTATTTGAAGATAACGGGAAGGAAGGGGAAGAAACAGCGATGAGGGAAAAAATGACAAAAATAACGGCAAGCAGCAAAAACGAGCAAGAAGAAAATGAGGATAGCAAGAAACAAACAGAGACGACACGAACAGAAGGAAAAAAAAAAATCGAAAGATAAAGACACCGGTCCATATCAAGAGGAAAAAACAGTGACGAGGGAAAAACCAACTAAAAAAACAACAAACAGCAACATAAGCAAGAAGAAAATGAGGACAGCAAGCAGAAACAAACAGACACACAATAACAAACACGCACAAGAAAAATGGAAAAAAAAATCGACAGATAATCATACCGGTCCATATCCACTTCGCGTCCACGAGGTCCTGCTTCGCGAGGCCCGGGATTTTCTTGAGGACCAGTGCCAAGAATGGTGCTGACTCCAGCTCGAAACCTGACCAGTGGTCGTTCTTGGTGAGCCACTTCAGGCATCGCCGGCACTGGGTGGTGGCAGCCACATTTTTTTGCCGATGACAAAAGAAAAAAAAAAGTAAGAGTTGAGACGGAGAGGGAGGGAGAGAGAGATGGGGGAGAGAGAGAGGAGGGGGGGGGGTGGGGGGGTTGGGGGGGGGAGAAAGAAAAAAAAATCCAGATAAATATAAAGCGAGAGAGTGAGAGAGAGAGACCGAGAACTAACAGTTACCAGGTCCTGAAAAAACCGGTACCGCACACCATACACGCGTAGTCTAGGACACGCCCCGGCCCCCGCCACGGGAGCTTTGAAGTCTGCCGGCTCTTTTAGATACCCTTGTGTTCCATGGATCTTGCTTCCCCCGAAACAACAACCAAACCACCTTCTTGTATACCATTTTGTCTACTATGGACATAGTAAATTCTGTATATTCCCTAGTGTATATACCCCTCCCTACTTAGTAGGCAACAGTATCACACAATGAAACCCCCAAAAGAAAAAGGGTGTGGAATGTACCAAACAGCAGTGCAAGCCGACGCTTGACCACCATTGTACCGGACTTTTTTTTTCGCTTGCTGGTGATATCCTCGAAAACGGCTGTCACGGACTCCACCCTTCTTGCTCCGGGTTCAAGAGGGGGCTCCCGTATGAAAGAATC